TAAAGATTTCTATACTATTTTAACACAGATCGAAGCTATTTTAAATTCCAGGCCAATTTCTCCTTTGAGTTCCAATCCTAATGATTTAAATCCATTGACTCCTGGCCATTTCTTAATTGGCAAATCCTTAACATCTATTCCCGACCCAAAAGTACTTGACTTTCCTGAAAATAGACTAGGACGCTACCAGCACCTATAGCGTTTGGCACAACATTTTGGAATCGCTGGCATAAGGAATACATTTCGGAGTTGCAAAGTAGGACAAAATGCAAAGGCCGTGGAAACCAATCATTAAAAGTCGGAACCATGGTACTTCTCAGAGAAGATAATGTACCTCCACTGAATTGGCAATTAGGTCCCATTATCGAGGTGCATCCAGGACTAGATAAGGAAGTGCGTGTAGTAACAGTGAAAGTTCAAAATAACGTTTTCAAAAGAGCTGCCATTAAGGTTTGTGCTTTACCCATTGATAATGAACAAAAACATGTGAATTAATAATCTAAGTGAAGTGTACAAAATAATAGAACAAAACAATTTTATGACAAACAATTTAATACAATTTAATAACTTTCAATTAGCGACATGAGTTAGTGAAGTTTAAATTAGTTACTTTGTTTCACTTTCTTAGTTACTTTTTTAATTACTTATATTATTAGGCTTATAATTAATGTATCTTTAGTTTCGAAATAATATTAGTATTATTTCAAGGTGCCCGCCATGTTAAGAATTCATAAAATATATTATTACGAGTCCCAATAGTGTAACATGAACTATTTTTTGTAAGGGTCGTCTGTTACGCTAGAGTGTCGCCGGACTATGATGCAGGTGGTCTAAATGTCATTCACAGTTCAAGTGCTAAATGCATTTGTAATATAAGATATTTTTTTATTTTGATGTTAGTTATATGTCTGGACTGTCTATATCGGCGTCGGTAATTTTATTTATGGGTCTGCAAATGCCTTCAGATAATTTCAAGGAATCATCCTTCTCAGATATATTAAGTCCAAGAAATCATCCCCCGTATATGTACAAATTAATGTAACGCGCCTCTTACGGGCGGGGTTAATATTGTTAATCATAATTTGTAATCATTTTTATTTAGTACAAGTTTAGAGCTCAGTTTAGAAACACCAAATATCTGATGCCATTATATTCACTATATTTCTTCTTTAATAAATATATTAATATCAAACGTCGCATTTTATTTAAATAATCACCGATCACACCAAGAGTTTAAATATAGAACAAATTTAACACTAAACATACCATAACGGGTCAAATGACCCATTTTGAACTTTTGCATTGAAAATGCACGTCTAATTTCATTGCGTTTGCACATTTGACTCCATGACTTTTATTAAGTAATTAAAGTACAGTTATAAACAATTTTTTTTTCTTGTTTTGTTTTGTTTATTCTGAGTAATCCTTCTTGTATACCGATATCTACCACAATGGGTCATTTGACCCGGAGAGAATTTTTTGGTTTATGAGATTGTCGAGTCATATTTGTAGTCAGTAAGTTGCACATTCTTCTAAACACTGTTGCGTAAAGTAGTTCATCGAAAATAGCTCAGAATAATTTCAAGAAAATATCAAATTTTAGTTTGAAAATAGCTTTTTATTGTTAGAAAAAGTGGCAGAAATTGAAAATCTTGGTAAGTACCTAGCTTATATTTTATTTTGATAGCTATAGTAAAATACAGGTTATTTTTTATTATTCGGTCAACTAAAAGAGAATTACCACTAATTACGAAGCAAAAAAAAGATGATATGGAACAATTTTCATCGAAAATTTTTACAACAGATAATTGCATTCTTACAATCTGTAAAAGTAAGCCAACAAACAAAGTACTTTTACTTAGTTCTAAACATAAATTCGTTAAATTGGAAAACAATGGTAAACGTTTACCTGAAACTGTTTTATATTACAATAAAACCAAATTTGGTGTAGACATGACCGATCAAATGGCGAGAAAATTTACTACAAAATCGAAGTCTTGCAGATGGCCTTTCCAAGTTTTTTCAATATCCTTGATTAGAGCTGGCATAAATGCCTGGATTTTGTACAAGCAAACGACAGGAAAAAATATCTCGCGGCTTTTTTACTCAAGCTAGCAGAAGAACTTGGTGCCGATTTTCGAGAAGTCCGTGAACAACCAAAATAAGAACAAATACGAAAGTATCGTTGTCTAAGTCTACTACAGATGCTTATAAACGTATGAGATGTCAAACAGAATACTGTAAAAAAAATAAAACCAACAAAGTTTGCTCTAAATGTAAAAAATATGTTTGCGGAAAATGTACAATTATGAATACAACTATGAATTAATTTTTTTATTTTTGCTTCTGTAATAGAAATACTCAACATACCATTTTGTTTAATTATAATAAATTTAATTTTTGTTTTTATTTTCTTCCTAACATCCATATTTCATACATTCAAGCATGAAACATAGAGTCGGGTCATTTGACCCGCTATGGTAGAATTAGGTATATATTAAGTCTTGGTATGATTAGTGTTAAAGGTGTAGCGGTTAGAATAAGTAAATCGATAAACACCAGTTAGACGTCGAAGTAATTTTTTAAGCTTCGCGCCTTAACATGCCGTCTGACATACGTAAAGGTTAATGAATTTTATATCAGATGAAAAAAATTTTAGAGATTCTATGAATGTATTAGGAGGTCCTTTGGATTTTAAAGAGTCATTTATATTAATCCACAGTTGTAATAATTCAAATTTGATTGATTATATTAATAAGTGTTACATGTACTATGCTGCAGTCATTTCACAAATAGACTGTTATTATATCATGCAAAATAAATGCAAAGAGATCAATTATTATGTGTTAGATAGAAATGTAGGGTTTAACACTAAACATACCATAACGGGCCAAATGACCCCATTTTGAACTTTGCATTGAAAATGCACGTATAATTTCATTGCGTTTGCACATTTGACTCCATGACTTTTTTTAAGTAATTAAAGTACAGTTATAAACAATTTTTTTTCTTTTTTGTTTTGTTTATTCTGAGTAATCCTTCTTGTATACCGATATCTACCACAATGGGTCATTTGACCCGGAGAGAATTTTTTGGTTTATGAGATTGTCGAGTCATATTTGTAGTCAGTAAGTTGCACATTCTTCTAAACACTGTTGCGTAAAGTAGTTAGTTCATCGAAAATAGCTTAGAATAATTTCAAGAAAATATCAAATTTTAGATTGAAAATAGCTTTTTATTGTTAGAAAAAGTGGCAGAAATTGAAAATCTTGGTAAGTACCTAGCTTATATTTTATTTTGATAGCTATAGTAAAAACAGGTTTATTTTTATTATTCGGTCAACTAAAAGAGAATTACCACTAATTGCGAAGAAAAAAAAAATGATATGGAACAATTTTCATCGAAATTTTTACAACAGATAATTGTGCACTCTTACAATCTGTAAAAGTAAGCCAACAAACAAAGTACTTTTACTTAGTTCTAAACATAAATTCGTTAAATTGGAAAACAATGGTAAACGTTTACCTGAAACTGTTTTATATTACAATAAAACCAAATTTGGTGTAGACATGACCGATCAAATGGCGAGAAAATTTACTACAAAATCGAAGTCTTGCAGATGGCCTTTCCAAGTTTTTTCAATATCCTTGATTAGAGCTGGCATAAATGCCTGGATTTTGTACAAGCAAACGACAGGAAAAAATATCTCGCGGCTTTTTTACTCAAGCTAGCAGAAGAACTTGGTGCCGATTTTCGAGAAGTCCGTGAACAACCAAAATAAGAAACAAATACGAAAGTATCGTTGTCTAAGTCTACTACAGATGCTTATAAACGTATGAGATGTCAAACAGAATACTGTAAAAAAAATAAAACCAACAAAGTTTGCTCTAAATGTAAAAAATATGTTTGCGGAAAATGTACAATTATGAATACAACTATGAATTAATTTTTTTTATTTTTGCTTCTGTAATAGAAATACTCAACATACCATTTTGTTTAATTATAATAAATTTAATTTTTGTTTTTATTTTCTTCCTAACATCCATATTTCATACATTCAAGCATGAAACATAGAGTCAGGTCATTTGACCCGCTATGGTAGAATTAGGTATATATTAAGTCTTGGTATGATTAGTGTTAAAGGTGTAGCGGTTAGAATAAGTAAATCGATAACACCCAGTTAGACGTCGAAGTAATTTTTTAAGCTTCGCGCCTTAACATGCCGTCTGACATACGTAAAGGTTAATGAATTTTATATCAGATGAAAAAAATTTTTAGAGATTCTATGAATGTATTAGGAGGTCCTTTGGATTTTAAAGAGTCATTTATATTAATCCACAGTTGTAATAATTCAAATTTGATTGATTATATTAATAAGTGTTACATGTACTATGCTGCAGTCATTTCACAAATAGACTGTTATTATATCATGCAAAATAAATGCAAAGAGATCAATTATTTATGTGTTAGATAGAAAATGTAGGGTTTAACACTAAACATACCATAACGGGCCAAATGACCCATTTTGAACTTTTGCATTGAAAATGCACGTATAATTTCATTGCGTTTGCACATTTGACATTATGACTTTTTTTTAAGTAATTAAACTACAGTTAATCAAAAGTTTCTTGTTTTGTTTTGTTTATTCTGAGTAATCCTTCTTGTATACCGATATCTACCACAATGGGTCATTTGACCCAAAGAGAATTTTTTGGTTTATGAGATTGTCGAGTCATATTTGTAGTCAGTCAGTTGCACATTCTTCTAAACACTGTTGCGTAAAGTAGATCAACGAAAATAGCTTAGAATAATTTCAAGAAAATATCAACTTTTAGATTGAAAATAGCTTTTTATTGTTAGAAAAAGTGGCAGAAATTGAATGTCTTGGTAAGTACCTAGCTTATATTTTATTTTGATAGCTATAGTAAAACAGGTTATTTTTTATTATTCGGTCAACTAAAAGAGAATTACCACTAATTGCGAAGCAAAAGAAAAATGATATGGAACAATTTCCATCGAAATTTTTTACAACAGATAATTGTACTCTTACAATCTATAAAAGTAAGCCAACAAACAAAGTACTTTTACTTAGTTCTAAACATAAATTCGTTAAAGTAGAAAACAATGATAAACGTTTACCTGAAACTGTTTCATATTACAATAAAACCAAATTTGGTGTAGACATGACCGATCAAATGGCGAGCAAATTTTCTACAAAATCCAAGTCTTGCAGATGGCCTCTCCAAGTTTTCTTCATTATCTTTGATTTAGCTGGCATAAATGCCTGGATTTTGTACAAGCAAACGACAGAAGCAAATATCTCGCGACAAGATTTTTTACTCAAGCTAGCAGAAAAACTTGGAGCCGATTTTCGACAAGTTCGTGAGCAACCAAAATAAAAAACAAACACGAAAGTATCGTTGCCTAAGTCTACTACAGATGCTTATAAATGTATGAGATGTCAAATAGGATACTGTAAAGAAAATAAAAACCAACAAAATTTGCTCTAAATGTAAAAACTATGTTTGCGGAAAATGTTCAATTATGAATACAACTATGAATTAAATTTTTTTATTTTTGCTTCTGTAATAGAAATGCTCAACATAATATTTTGTTTAATTATAATAAATTTAATTTTTATTTTTATTTTCTTCCTAACATCCATATTTCATACATTCAAGCATGAAACATAGAGTCGGTTCATTTGACCCGCTATGGTAAAATTAGGTATATATAAAGTCTTGCTACGATTAGTGTTAAAAGTATTTGCTCATATTGTGTGTATTTTAGGTAGCAAGTATCATAATATACAAACAAATTTACTCAATTTGAAAACTATAACTCAATATTAGAAAAATCAATCTTGATCGAAATTGGTTTGAAAAAAAACAGATGAGTCTGCATGCTGTCGAGACCTTTTATAAAATAGTCGATTTGTGAAGTATTTCACAATAGACGGGCAGCGTATTTTTACGCATTAAATAGATTAACTTTAAAAAGCGTGTCAAATTACTTTTATCGGATCGGTTTGCATAAGATATTGAAAGTACAAGCTGGTATTTTTTTCTATATTCAATTGGTTTTGTATTTGAAAGACTTTCAGAATAAAGATAAGGACAAAAAACAATAATTAAGTTTGATCCTCAAGTCTCTTTTCATGCAATCCACTCGCAATTTTTTCTTTGTAGATAATTATGCAGAAGTTACAACAATAGGGTGTTCAATATATATTATATAAAATATATTATAATACAGTTTTAGTCAGATTTATATGGTTCAACATCTCTTTTTAAATTATTTGCAATAATAAAATAATAGCATCGAATAGCGATAGTAAAGTTTACGCCGATAATTTATCATAAATTAGAAGTGATTGTGATATGATTGATTTTGAAAGTGAATGTGAAAGATGAATTTTTTCATCCAAGAAGACGTAGAGTTTTACTTATGCCCAGTGATTCTGAAAATAGTGACAATAAAGAAGTGGAGTGGTCAGATATTGACAATCCTCCAATTATTGAACCATATTTAGGTCAAAGTGGTGTTTTTAAACCAAATAATCCACAAAGTGTAATCAAAGTGGTTCAGCTATTTTTGGGGAATGATTTGTTTGACTATATGGCCGAAGAAAGTAACCGTTATCGTTCACAAAATATTGATCGGTTTAAAAACAGTGCAAGTTCTTTGAAATGGAAAGACGTATCTGCAGTAGAATTGATGTTAGGATTACTATTGCTTATGGGCAAAATTCGTAAAAAGAATAGGAATGAATACTGGTCCACAAGCAGAAACCCAATTTTTATCCAAGTGATGAAAAAAGATGGTTACATATGGTAATGGCACTTCTCTAATATCAAATAATACTAATGAAAGGGATTGCCTGAATAAAATAGGTCCCAACAGTATCTTATTTCGAAACAAAATTTCAACAAGTATACAAGCCAAATTTTTCAATTCTTAAATGCAAATCCAAAAAAAAAGTTTAAAACCTTTCTGCAGGATGGGGCCAAATTATAGATAAGTAAAAATGTTGAACACTCATGATCCCGGACCCAGTACATCTTATAGAAGATAATAATTTTCCAAAGAGGTTATTGGATGCCAGTAAGCATAACATTGTGAAAATAACGAATGGCAAGAAAAGACATCACCAAAATAATGCCTGTTTATGCCACCCATAAAAAAAAAGTTTATGTCCCAGTTATGTAATGTACCTCTTCATAAGTGAGAATGTTTCCAGAAAGATTAGTATGAGCAATAATTTATATACTATAGAGAATAATCTGACTAAAATTTGGAATTGCCACCGAGACTTGAAAGAGAAAAGGGTATAGGCGCGTTCCTATACAGGATCAGCCCCACGTACACCAAAGGTCTTTTAAAAAAAACTCCGATATAACAATTTTCAATTCCCAACTCACTTGGCCGATATATCATTGAAAATGTATGAAAGTGTTTCCATTTTTCCAACTCACTCTTAGGCATTTCAAAAACTGTATGGTTTTATCCAAAGTGGTCGTTCCAATGACATTTGTAACATATAAAGCAAAACAATTATTTATTCGAAAAGAAATTTTTTTTTTCTACCAGTGTGGCTCCTTCAACTACTTTTTAATTAGCATCATTCGAAAGCCTGTAATTTTTTTCTGGTATTTAAAATTTCAATTGAATCTAGGAACTTATGTTCCTAGTAATTTTGCTATAGCGCATGCATTGACAAATTCTGTATATGAAAATACCTAATAAAAAAACTAGGTACATTCATTTATGCTCTCTTCTCATGAAGACATGTTATTCGTTTGGAATTTGTTACCACTAAATCTTCACTAACATACCAAGAACAACTTTATCATAATAATCTGAAAAAACCTCTACCCTTTATATATAGGTAGGTAGCAAACCTCTACCCTTTATGTATGTATGCATCTACATATATTATAAAAAATAATGCCAATCCATTGAATTTAATCAAACCCTAATCTAATGGACCAAGAGCCAGTAAACCTTTTGAATAACGGTGTTCCTGTGTGGTTGAAAATTTTTGTACAGGTGATTCTTAACTTGCTAAGTACGGAAACGACGGTCTGGCAGGTTTTAGCCCTGCACATCATGGTCGTCCAGGCGCTTGAAAGTGTAAAAAACACCCGAAAATTAAACTTGTTCCTGTAAGGTTCAAATTTTTATACGATGTAATTTACTCATCGAGAAATTTGAAAATCAATCTGCCAGACCATTTCGACCTGCACAAGTACCTGCCAGACGAGCCGGAAAGTGAGCAAAAAATGCCCCAAAATAAACTTTGTCCTGTAAAGCTGAAATTTACATATGTGTTTATCTAAGCAAATCTAAAAAGGTCTGTGCAATGGCCAGACCATTCTGGCTAGCATAAGCCCATGCCAGACGAGGGCAAAAATGCTATGGCGGGAGGGCGAGTAATAGGCGTTGCGTGAAAACTTATTACATATCTTTAAACCATATTATGAGAAATTGCAAATTATGGTCAAAATAAATTTAATTAGTCACAATAAAATATATATTATCATGATTAATCATCATTATCAGATATATGGCGAATTAATACTTCATCGTCATAAGATTCGGAATTTCTGACTTATCGTCTATAAAAAAAAAACAAATTTAAATATATTAATGATATAATAAGATATAAAATATTACAAATTTAAAAATTTTAACATTACCGCCTATGTGTTGATCAGCTTCGTTTGCATCCTCCTCAGCAATACGAAAAGGATGTTGTGATATTATTTCAAAAATTGAAGAAGGAACGGTATCTCCCACAAACCAATTGAAATCAAATATTTTTCCCATCAATATCCAGACAGTATTTTGAGGTTTAAGAATTGTTGGTACTTTTAAATGACTATTTGAAAACTACATCTACTCATACAGCATGTGCTGCCGTTAAAATAGACATTATTTTTTCGAAATATTACCAAATGTTTTTGGTATATTTTTCATTGAATGCAGTAAATAAAATCCATTGAAAACAACAGCATCATACCAAATTGTTTCGTTATCAGTTATGTTTGCTTTTAAGACTTCAATAATTGCTGATTTCGCGGTTTTATAAATAGTTCCATCTGCGTGGCAAAGTGACATTAAAACTATCATAACATAATATCTTTCGAACAGTTTTTGATTTTTTAAAATCGATTCGGTAGTATGAGCTTAAATGTGGACGAAAAGTTCAACACATTTTTCCAAATTACAATGAAACGGCAGATCGTCGCACAAAACTGACAAACGAGATAATCGAGGTACATCAAATGGCTTTTGAATTTCTGAAATGGGTTCAGGCGTTTTTGAGCAAACGTCGATACAAGGTCTAATTTTGACAAATGCCAAAAAAAAGCGAAATTAATATTTGCAAATTTTGATGAATTTTTAAATCGGTCCAGCCGTTTATGAGAAAACGTCGATTTACTTACGGAAAAAAATCTGTTCACACATACATACCCTTTTTCCAAATTTGGTCTCATTCGATTCAGAATGGCTTGAAACGTCGAGAAAACAAATTAACGAATCGGATTTTTTGATGAAAACAAACTTCTTCGGAAAGCTGACAATTGTAATGGGATGTGATGTTTTTTCAAGATCAATATTATATTGGATTTATCGCGCTAATAGGCGACCAACCAAATAACGTTGGTCACGAATTTCGTGAATTTTATTATTAGCTTTAATAGGTTTCTTTTTTTTTCTGAAGAAGAATATCATAATTTTACCTGAGAAATTTTTCTTCAAATCTGTTACCCTCCGTTGAACATTCAGAAATAAATGTTTCTTGAATTCCAATTTTCACCTATTTTCAGAAAATTCAATAGATACTCAATAGAAGCCTGAATTGAAGTATTAATTCATAATAATGTATATTTTATTGTCACTAAATAAATTTATTTTGACCATAATTTGTAATTTCTCATAATATAGTTTGAATATATGCTATAAGTTTTCACGCAACGCCTATTACTCGCCCTCCCGCCATAGCATTTTTGCCCTCGTCTGGCAGGGGCTTATGCTAACCAGAATGGTCTGGCAATTGCACAGAACTTTTTAAAATTGCTTAGATAAACACATATGTAAATTTCAGCTTTACAGGACAAAGTTTATTTTGGGGTATTTTTTGCTCACTTTCCGGCTCGTCTGGCAGGTACTTGTGCAGGTCGAAATGGTCTGGCAGATTGATTTTCGAACTTTGCAAAGAGTAAAATACATCGTATAAAAATTTGAACCTTACAGGAACAAGTTTAATTTTCGCGTGTTTTTTACACTTTCAAACGCCTGGACGACCATGATGTGCAGGGCTAAAACCTGCCAGACCGTCGTTTCCATACTTTGCACGTTAAGAATCACATGTACAAAAATTTTCAGCCTTACAGGAACACCGTTATTCAAAAGGTTCACTGGCTCTCAGTCTATTATTATTACAGCACAAGACAAACTTGTCAAAGGTCTCACATTAACACTTCCTTCTTCATTCAATGCTTCAGATGGACTGGATTATTCAACCAATTGCTATCAAATATTAGAGAATTAGAAAATAAAATTTTTATAAATTACTTAATAACATTTCTAAGGAACTTTTTTGCGTTATTGTACAGACACCGCGGGTACTAGCTCAGTTTTTCTCTAATCTTGAATATGAAGTTCCACATAGATTTAAATGTAATTTTGGATACCAGAAAAAAAATGTACCAGTACAAAAAGTAGTCAGAAAAAGCCACACTGGTCGAAAATAAAAAATAAATATATTCACTTCTTCATACGCTGATAAATATTTCTTTACATTATTTGTTTAAATATCATACAACAAAGCAGTTTGAATAGAACTATATCAACCATTTTTCAATATTTTTCATAGTTCCGCCAAAAAGTGAGATTGAAAAAGTGTCTTTTCATATTTTCGATATATGGCCATATGATGAGCTAGGGAATTGAAAATTGGTATACAGGATTTTATCAAAAAAAACATGAAATCACATAAAAATCTTCTGTATGGAAATTCTGTAAAATCTGTAGAAAACACAACCATACTCTTTATATGATCTTCGACAATACAAAAAACCATACAAAAATTTCATGTTGAATCAGATAAATTTTGAAGGAACTACCACAATTTGTGTGGGTTTGACTATAGTTAACAAATTACGATGGGGCCCACATTTGAAAAATCTGGTAAGAAAGTGTGAAGATGCATTAAATATCTTGAGAGTATTAAATCACATGATGTATGGCGCTGACGTAAAGGTCGCAATCAGGATCTATAAACAGCTTATATTATCTAAACTCGATTATGGCCGCTTCATTTATGGGGATGCAAGTAAAAATTTACTGCGCAAGTTGGATGCCCTGCAAAATAAGGCTGTAAGATATTTCCTGGGTATTTTGCGTTCAACGCCCATTATCGCCTTACATGTGGAAACACACATAATGCCTCTGCATTTAAGGAGGAAACTGTTAGCAACGAAATTCGTTATTGACAGAATAAAGTCCAATAACGTAGAAGTGATACAAAAAATTAGTAGTGCTAACAACTGTCAGAGCAGACAATATGGGCAAAATAAGAAGAAAGCTATACTTATGTCGGTGTTCTCAGAAACTGAATACAAATATAAGCCAAACTGAATATAAATGTAAGCAAACCAAAGCAACAAAATTCTACTTCGACCAAGAAATCACGACTAGAAACCTTAAACATATCATACAGATGGAATTTTGTAATACATATTCCAGTCCAATTGATTGGGTGTATAGGTTAGAAATTGAAGATAAAATTAAAAACACGTTCGAGGACTTCGAGATTTTCTTCACAAATG